CATTTGACACAAGAACTATCAGAAACGCCCTTCTTCGTCTTAGTTCTCATAGCAGCTCCGCATTTCGAACTCTGTTTTAAAAGTCCCACAGAAATTACAAAAATACGCTTTGATCCTCATAAACACACCCATGAACAAAAGACTCGTTAACGACTCCAACATCGTACCTTTTAATACTAAATTTACTTTCCACACAATCTAAAATATGTGACTGAAATCTTGCCACCACGTCTATCATTGCAACATAGGCCATTTCAAAACACGCACGACACAAACCAACGAGCAATTAAACCACTCCAGCAAAAGAGTTTCCAACGTCAAAATGGTTGCCTTACAACACACAATCGTGCCAAAAACCAGCATGGAACACATATCACCACATTGGGTGATCTTAGGGCACATATAAGAGTAGAGCCAATCAAAATATTTAGTTTTACCGTTTTTTATTCTAGCTATTATGTTGAATGTATTCAGAATAAATGTTGAAGAGTTTTACCGTTTTTTATTCTAGCTATTATGTTGAATGTATTCAGAATAAATGTTGAAGTGATACCCCTTGGCTAGGCCAGAGAATCTTCCTCGTAGGGCGAGTTACCTAATATTTAAATTTGGTTTCTTAGTTTATTTGGTTTAATTGTTTCTTAGTTTTTTTGGTTTGCCAGTATTGGCGGTGCAGTTTATGAGTTTAGGTTTAGGTTATCTCACCTTCCATGGTGACCATATTCTGGATTGACATCTTATGCCAGAATGCTTGAGGATAGTAATGGCAATTTTTTTTTTTTTTCCATTTTTGCATATTCAAAACAGTAAGTTCATTTTGTCCCTTGAGGACTTTTCTAAGCCTTCTTGATTTGAGAGCACAATAAATTATCTTTGTTATTATGTCCTATTACTCTGGCATTATTTTATTTCATTTAGCACCCAATTCACACTTTTTAATGTGCTATATGACCGTTTGTGTTCCATCATTAGCAGCTGTCTCCCACTGTATTTTGTGTATATGTCTCTTGTTAATTGCTTAGTCACAAAAGTGTTGCAGTTTTGTGTTTATCTGTTAAAAGTATGTTAGATGCACAGTAACTACTTTTCCCCATGTAAGGAATTTTTATGACATAATCTATTTTTTAAGGTAACATTTTATATGTATATAAAGCAAGTATGCATAACATTTAATAAAGGACTAGTTTATGTTGCTACAAACTGTAATGTATGGAGAGATTAATTATGGTGATTCCAGTGGTGCCCTTCGTTATGTATTATTTAACAATTTTTTATCCAATCTATGCTGGGTTTTGCTGTAATGTTGAATTATGATTATAATTTTTCAAGGCTGTATAATTGTTATTTTTGAGGACAATTATGTTCCTAATTAAGTTATAATTAGCTGCTGCAATTGCAGTATAATTTCTATTGCATTGTAATTGTAATTACAGAAAGCAGTTATATTGTAATTTTCAAGTGCGAAAGACTCTACAGTTGTATTTTTTCCTAATGATGTACAGCATAAACTTGCTTGCAACACACATGTATAGGGTGGGGCAAATAAAAGTGGCTCGGAGAACAGAGTTCAAAGTTACAAAGAAACACAGCAAAGGAAAGGGAATACAGTACTAACCTGACTACAGCAGATGTTGAAATTGACCATCATTCATCTCTTGACACTTTTGGGCCCTGGTCAGCGCAGTTGCTGAAGGCAGATCGAAGCTTTACTGCAATCTCATCCAAAATAATCTGCTCCAGTTCTTACACAGGTGACCTGGGTGGCCAGCTAGGACCAAGACCAGACTGACCTCTGCTAACAACTCTGTCAGGCATGAAGATTGTGTAAATGTGAACCAGTGAGCAATGGCTATATGGGCAGTTGCACCATTCTGTTGGATGTAACTGCATGTCTTTTCCTCCTCAGGTAATGTTGTCACAAATTGATTAAAAATGGTGGAAATGTAATGCTCCGAATTCAGCGTCTGATGAAAGAAGATGAGACCAGTAATTCGGTGTGCAGACACTGAACACCAAACCCCAACATTTTGGTCATGCAATGGTGTTTGTCCACTGCCCAGAATATATGATTCTGTGAACTGACTGGTAACTCAGGTGAAACCAGACTTCATCTCTATATAAATTAAAAGAAAGTGTCAGTCCGTGTATTTTTGTTTGTGCTGCGTGTAAGCTAATAGACCCAGGGCTACGAAATTTGGTATATAGGATCATCTAGACAAGAGCCGGTGCACTTCAAACCAATTGTTTTCAAAATTCGAATCTGATTTTTTTAAATTTTATCTTTTTGATTTTATTGCATCATTTTGAATAGTTTCATTCTTTTAAAAATGTAGTTTTGGCAGCAGTTTTTCATTTAATGCTTTGGATACTGGACTGCTGACTTGAAAATATGAGATAAAATGCTGCTCTTTTTCTTTTGATTTTTGGACACACAACATACACATTACAATCTTCTCATTCTGATGTGCATGTGTCTTGCGAGGCACAACATAAGGAATTTCCTTTCCCCCCTCTCTCTCTCTTTATTAGCTAATGGCAAAGAGGCTTGTGTATTTTGAATTATGTCATACACAAAGAACAAGTTTGATTGGTTATTGCTTTCTGATGATAGTTTCATTCTTTTAGAAATGTTTGGCAACAGTTCTTTGGATAGTGGACTCCTGACTGTTTTCTCTCGAAAATATGAGATTTATTGCTTATTCCATTGTAATTTTTTTATATTATGTTTTAATTATATAAAAAGTTTTGCATAATTATTTTTAGGAAACAAAGTTCTTAACTTCCTTTATACCATTTGCATTCGTAAGATTTTGCAACAGGAAGTTGGTTAATTTATTTATTAGGATAATTAATATTTGTATTAATGGATATTGCTTATTTCATCATAATTTTGTTATATGTAATCATTTTTAAAAACAAATTGTGGTTTTATATATATATATAAGTTTTGCAGAGTAAGCTTCTGCTCAATTTTTAATTTAACGTTTGGTGTTCCCTTTAGGCATTTTCCCAGTACATTAAAAAGCCAGACTTAATCTGGCCGTGTAGCTGCTAGTCAGAAATAAAGTAAAGATCTATGTCCATTGAACAGCCACTACAAAACTGGAGGCGCTGAGAAGCATCTGCTGTTTTGAATGCATGAACTATAGACACTCTGTAGGGATGCATTTTCAGGTCCAGTTGAAGTATTTGTCTGCATGATCGAAGTGATAAGTCAGCCTCTTGCGACAGGCGTCGGGATCATTTGGTACGACTCTGAAGCATTTTCTGTTGAACACAGCCACATGTTCTGGTTTTCGGATATGTTTGGGAATGTTTTTTGACTTGTTCAAAACAAATCCTGTCTGAAGCTATTTTCTGACTAATAGTTGCATGATGCTCTTTCCTTGCACTTTGACCCCATTAACTCTTTGAGGGACAGGAAAAGGCAATTAACTTTTTCGGCAAAACTCTTGTTTTATTTACTGTATCAGGTGTTACAGTGAAATTATTTGCGACAATTACACATATTTTGTTCAAGACACGTGAAAAAAATGACCACTTCTGGTGGTTAGTGTCGGTGACCACAGAACACATCCCTACCAATCAGTCTGTATGGTACTCGTAGAAGCAGTTTTTCTGTTTCAAACAGAGTGCAACTTTGCATGTGCTGCATTCCCGCACAGAGTGCACATTGTCATAATGTTGTCTTCGATGGCTGATGCTTATTTTCTTGAAGATGAATTGCTGCATTCTGCTTATTTTTTTAATTTTTTTTATTGCTATCTAGTGAACTGGTCAGTCTTGAAAACCACTCACATGAATGAGTAAGAGGTTCAATGGGAAAGGTGGTTACTGTAGGTAACCACTGTGCTTCAAAGAGTTAAACTTATGAGCAAACAATTGACCATGTTGTTTCTACAACTTTGTTGTAATGTAATTTTCAGAACAAATGCCCTCTGCTGCACTGTGAGTGCACTAACCTTTGCACTGCTCAACTCACACTGGCACAACCAGCATTAAGCTCTGAACTGGTTTGAATAATGTGGTGTGGTTATTTGCATACATTCACTTCCAATCGTATCCACTCATCCAAGGCACTTTTATTTACTTTCCTTTGCTGTGCTTCTTTGTAACCTGGAACTTTGTTCTCCGAGCCACTTTTATTTGTCCCACCCTGTAGAAATATATCCAAAATTCAACTTTCTGGTGTCCACAAGATGGTTTCTGTTTCAATGTGCATGCTATGGCATTTTCACTAATTCTTTTGAAGCGAAAAATGTTGTCGTAAGCAGAATCTACAGCATTGTTCTCCATCAATGCAAGATTGAAAATACTGAGCATATTAAATGTTCAGTAATGAAAAACTTACAAATTTTCACAGCTTAAGAAATAGAAATTATGTATAGCTTAGACTACCTTCACATGTACAAATCAGTAACCATCTGTTTCTTGCCAATATTGAAACATGACAACTCACTTTTTTACCTAGGCTTGAAAAATTTGCCGATCTTGAGAAACTTCTTTCACAAAACTCACGAATTAGAGTAGATAAAAATATATATATGATCCTTCAGTGAAGTGTTCCAAAGTGTGCCAGTTATTGCTTTTGTTTCCTCTGTGTTTGGACTGCTGATTATGAAAATATTCTACTAAATATGAAATTAACTACAGCAGAATTTCATATGATTTAGGAAAAAGGGTATGTGTGCAGACTTCCTAGTTTCAAAGTTAATTTCTTGCTTTTTAAGGGAAAATCTGGCTCCTTCTAAATTATCAGGGTAGTAAAAATTCTTTTTTTTTTTTTTTTTTTTTTTTTTAATTTATTGACATTTCAGTTTATAGTTTGCATGGAAACCTTGATATGAAACTGAAAATTATGAATTATAATCATAAAGTGTATTTTAAATAATAAAAATCAATCATTTATTATTTTGTTCATAAAATTTTTATTGTTATTTTGTCAAAAATATTTTTGTTAAAGATTGTAAGTAATCTAAGAAAATTTATGTTTCTTATAGTTGAGCTCGACACAGTATTCACAATATTATCAACTGCTGCATCTGTTTGCTTTTGGAACATATGCAGATTACCTAGGTGAGTTGCTTAAAAACAATGGATAAATATCCAGATTTTTGTTTTTTAAATATTTTTTAACTTAATGCTTTTTAAACTTAATTTATGTTTAAAAACACTTAAATTTTTCATATATAAATCAGTCCCTTTTAAAAAAAATGAAAGTTTAGTCCTTTCATTAGATAGTCTGCAGCTGTCCGTTGCTGTAGAAATGAACCCAGTACTCTGGCATTATCTGCTGGATACTCCAGCAAAGTTGCCAATTGTTAGCACATTTTTTTTTTACCAATCTAACTTGTGAAAAACAATAGCCATTTTTAAAAAAGGAGGTGCCCTAAATATTATGTAAAACAGCAACAGGTAAAAATATATTTAAGATTTGATAATTGACCTATCAGAAATTTTTATTTCCAAATTTGGTATCCAAAAATCGCCGCTACACAAATCCAAAATAACAAGTCAAAGAATTGCACAGACTAGGCATTGTGACTCCCTTGACATGTCCATGTACACATCGATCTATATTCACTTAAAAAGTCAAAGAAGCAGCCAACAAAAATATATATAATCTCAGTAAACTACATTTTAAATCAAACAATGAAATAACATAAAAAAGGAAATTCATCTTAGCACTACAGAAAGGAAATACTCACTTACCTTATTTACAAATTTCCCTGTCTTCAGTCAAACAAAATTCCTTAACAGCTTCCAAAAACTTCCTAAATTTATCTGAACTAGAATCTGTATAGTGGCGTCTCCACATAAATTCACAAAAGTAAGTCAAAAAGTATTCTCCATAGTGCAGGTATCCTCCGTTCGACCATACGCATTTCCTTCCTACAAACAGGACATTTATAATGGCAACTAAATAAACCTTCATTTGCACACCAGTAACAACGTACTTCTTATCCAAAATCCGTCCCATCGTTCAAATACACCGCAATCACACAACCAATAATGGCATAATAGGGTTTCCATGGTTACAGCCGAAAACATCGCGGACGATAACGTCGCGGGAGAAAACAATGCAAGGCGAAAACGTCGGGCTACAAAACATCGTGGTACAAAACATCGTCGTCGAAAATAAAGCAGTTCAAAACTTCGCAATTTAAAAACATCGTCGTCGAAAATATCGTGGTAAAAATAAAGTATCTACAAATCATCGCTTGACGATACCAACATCGGGACATGCTTTTTTCATACATGCTTTTCGCAAGCATGTGTTAATAACTGTAAATGGATATTCCCATAAGATTTGTGAGCGCAAAATGGAAAGAAGGATAATTTTTACTTTCCCATTTTTTTATTAGTAATAAATTTTTTCTGAAAAAGTAGAAGGAAACTTAAGCATAGCAAATTAATGCAACTTATAGCAATTAATGAATTTTAAACCGACATAGTTAACTAACAAAGGCCTTAATAAATAATTTTTATAAATTTTTACTAGTAATTTTCGTGAAAGTATAATCTATAAGTTGCATTTAATTTTCTATGCTTAAGTTTCCTTCTTACTTTTCAGAAAAAATTATTGTAATAAAAAATGTGAAAGGTAAAAATTATCCTTCTTACATTTTGCGTCACAAATCTTTATGGATATCATTTGTTTTAAGCCATGTAGGGAAAAAAAGCATGCGATGTTTATCGTCAGCGATGATTTTGATACTTTATTTTTACCACGATAGTTTCGACGACGATGTTTTTAAACTGCGAAGTTTTTTAACCGCTTTATTTTCGACGACGATGTTTTGTACCACGATGTTTTAGGACTGCGATGATTTCTCCCACAATGTTTTCGCCTTGCGTTGTTTTCTCCGCGATGTTATCGGCGGACACCGGTTTCCATAGCATTCAGTTACTCAAATTACCATAAATGAAACAACAACTTGGCAATAATTCAATGGGCACCCTTTAATCTACTCTAACACAGCAACAAATTAGCAAAATTAAAAATGCAAGAAACATCCATATTAAAACACTAAAAATTCCGCTAAACAGACATCCGTAATGAAACACTCGAAATTACATAAAACATCAACATATTATGCAACAAAACTCCATACTAAAACAGTTTTTTTTTTTTTTTTTTTTTTTTTTTTTTTTTTTTTCCCGTTGTCCTTTTTCTGAATATGCTGCAATTTATAGGGAAGGGGGGATTTAAAAAATTGCAAAGCAGATTACCACTGTTCTCCATATATGCATTAGTTTGTTTAACTTATTAAGGAAAGTCAGGAAATCGCAAATTAATTTCATGGAATGTCCATTTCGACACTCTACTGCAGGGCAAGATGCGGTATTCCTGAAAAAATACAAGACTTTCTTTTTCATTTTTAAGTAAACTTTACAATGGCATTGCGATTTGCTACAAGGAAAAACTCTATACCCTAATTGCAACAAGCAGAAACCATATGCATGGCCTTCAAATTTCAAAACTGCATGCATTGCTACCACCATTGAGATCGATTGTGGCATTGTGTGCTGACGTAATGCATGTGCAATTGCTATTGCATTGCTAGATAAATACTTTTTTGTAAAATTCTCGGTTGCCCACATTGGCAATGCCCAGTGATACCTTTCTGGGTTGGGCAGGTAATGCAATAGTACCATGAAACCCAACCATTTTTCATAGAGGTGTCTTAAATAAACTTTTAGGTATGCCGTCTTGTAGCTCTGAATAATGAGTTAGTGATATTCATTTTTTGCTTTTAAGTAAAAATACTCGTTGTAACGTTGTTACATCCAATTTTTGAAAGGAATACTAAGTGATATCTTCATTCTCTGGATGACATTCAATTATTTTTTTATTTCATATTTATTTTTATAATTTGTTGCTTATGTTTTTAAAAATTCTTCTTCGAATTTGTGGGGAGTTATATTTTAAGTTCAGACGTAAATATATCAAAACTGCTTTTAACCCAATTACCAAGCTTGATTCTGATTTTAAACATTATGTACACTTTTAAGAACACTATAACAAGCAACTTATTAAAATGTAAAAAAAAAAAAAATTAAGGTTTTTAAATGGGCCTTTTGAGGTTCTTTGCTGTTGTATCCACTATTAATACCTAGTTTTTATTATTTTATGTTATTGAAATTTTTATTATTATACCATTGTTCATTTTTTTAATTGTATAATGAGATACTTCAGTCACATGAGAAATTCTTTTTAAAGTTTTAAAGAGAGAAATTACTAAAGAGTTCTCCCAAAAGAAAATTCAGTAACATAGATTTTAATGGTTTACTTTTTTCAAAACTGATGATTATCAAAATGCTACAAAAATGAAAATAAATAGAAAAACAAAGGGTTGAATAAAAATAAATAAATAAATCTAAAAGCATTCAATTTTCAACGTCACACCAGAGAGTTTGTTAGAGTTAGTTAAGGTTTTTTACGCTCTTGCCGAGCTCAAAGTTTTACACCTGTTAACTTTTTTGTCTTTTTAAAATTCTTATTTAATATTGCTTTCTTCACACTTACCCAACATAAAATTCAACAGTGATATTGCAAAATGTTTAAAAGCAGCATATCTTTAGAATTCTATAAATCAGTGGTCTCAAATTCCAGTTGCACGTGGGCACAATGCCCAATCTAAAAACACCTGAGAGACTAGATTTGTTTTTTTTTTTTTAAATGTAGAATGAACATTTTTTATTAACAAAAATAAAAAAAATTCAACTAAATTTTAACTTGTGCTTACTAAATATCGAAACATATGTAAACAGTAATAATGCAAACAAAAAAATTTCAAATTTATATTTGTTTTTTATCTGAAAGCTGAAGGTTCGTAACCACAAGACATTTCTGTTAGTTACACTTTTGATACAAATATATAAAAATTCAAATTTGAATTTGTTTATTATCTGAAATCTGAAAGTTAGTATCTGCAAGAAATCTCCATTGGTTACACTTTGGGATTCGAATATAAAAAAGTTCAAATATATATTTGTTTTTTATCTGAAATCTGAAGGTTGGTATCTGCAAGAAATTCCTGTTGGTTACACTTTGGGATTCGAATATATTGACAGTTAAATTTTCAGATTAAGATTTATTTGAAATAATTTTAAATATGTAATCATTAATTTATTTAATCATTAAATATTTTACTTTAAATTAAACTAAAAATGCATAGATTAATGAAATGTTCTAAGATTTCAGATAAAAATTTCCAAGTGGGACAAAACTTGAGAATGAATAGTGACAACCTTGTCTGTTTCTCTTATTTATGAAATTTTTTTGACATATAGATAAAGATACTTATTTTTGTATGTAAATAATTATAAACTTTTCTATTTCTTACTATAGCTTGACATTTCGATACTGATAAGATGTGTAACCGTATAAGGCATTTCTCCTGCCTTCTTAGTGTGCATTCATGGTGTAGCTTGGTGTGTATTCAAGAGGTTCATGGTTCGAGTCCCGCCAAGGGCATTGCTCATTTTTCACATCTCCTACTTCGAAATAACCTAATGTCTCTACAAACTTGGAGAGAAATTTTGGTACTGTTCTGCTATCCGAACTGGATTCAGAAATGTAATGAATACATGCGCATGTGTATGTATATACAGGTGGTTATCAAAATAATGAAAAGACTCTAGGTGGAATTCTGTATTACTATGTATTCTGTATAAGGAATTCTGTATTACTTTGGCATATAATACAGCCAAAGTAATACATATATTCATTACATTTCTGAATACTGTTCTGCTATCCGAACTGGATTCAGAAAAGTAATGAATATATGCGCGTGTGTATGCATATACAGGTGGTTATCAAAATAATGAAAACACTCTAGGAGGAATTCTGTATTACTACGTATTCTATAAGGAATTCTGTATTACTTTGGCATATAATACAGCCTGGATTTGCCTGGGAATCAAATCATACGAATGCTGAATAGTGTGTAGAGGAATATTGTGCCATTCATCTTGGAGAGTGAAAATTTCAGGAGAGATACTGGTGGAGGATATCGATTCTATATCAAATGCTATAAAATAGACCTTAACACATTGACTGCCAGTCATTA